ACCTAAAAGACAGGCGACTTGTTCATTTGGTTTGATTTCGGCTCTAGTCCGCATTAGTAATGAATTTTAAAAATTTTTGATTTGTACAATTTTTCTGTTTTTAACCTGTGATGTTTTTAATTATTTGTATTAACGACCTATGTCCCCGGTAGGTTTACCATGTTGGCTAACTTCTATGTAATTCTCGCATATTTTTAATTTTAATCAAACTTTGGTTTGATTTCGGCTCTAGTCCGCATTAGTAATGAATTTTAAAAATTTTTGATTTGTACAATTTTTCTGTTTTTAACCTGTGATGTTTTTAATTATTTGTATTAACGACCTATGTCCGCGGTAGGTTTACCATGTTGGCTAACTTCTATGTAATTCTCGCATATTTTTTCCTGATGAAGAAACAAATATAGTTTCGAAAGCTTGAAAATTTAAAAGAGTGTAACTTTTTTTATCCTTGGCTGCATCCCCGTCTAAGAAAGAAATTTGGTTTTTAACTTAGACAGCCGTCTAATTTTTTGGCTTTATATATATATATCTCGAACGTTTCACGTCAACAGGCACAGTGAGCTGCTCAGAATAAAAAGGCATCAATATTGAAGTTCGATGTGTCAAAAGCTTCATATGTAAAAACTCTACAATATGGCGTCCGCAATTATGGAAAATCCTGTTTAATGCCTAATATTGATAGATAAGAAACATATAAATACTGTATTTTGTACACTGATTCACCATATCTATACGTTTTTGGGTTTGCTGATTTTGAATTCAATGTTCGTTAAACCCCACCTGTCACTGTTCGTCCCTAACATTAAAAATACTTCAAATCGTAGAAATAATACTTTTCTATGATGAGTNTTTAAAAGATTTTGTTTATTTTCTTAACCGTATATAATTAAATAATCACAAAGTTAGTTATTTCTGTCAATAATAGTCGAAAACTTAACAGGTCTATGTACTTATTGTCCTATAGAAACAACTGTCAATGACTTGAATGAACCGCAACAAATTACATGGTGAGACAGACACCCATCAATTTATTTGCATTAACAAACCCTTTATCAATTCTATCATTGCAATTACATTGCATAGTGATATAGCCTATATATTTAATATGCTAAATTTTGAAATGTGTATGTTTGATGTCTTTTTAAGGACAATAAATTGTTATTAAATTTATATTTTTGTTCTTATTTTTGTACACCAACCTCTTTCTACTGTAATGTAGTGTTGTAGTATGCAGCAAAATTCACTAACGTTTTGAATAGCTGCAATAATTCTACAAAAGAGGCCCATATAGCGCTGTTCCTGCTGAAAAATAGAAATATAAAACGTATAAAGCAGTTCCGCTAACACAAAAAGAATTCGCAAACAAACTCAACTTTTCACCGGTCTTTTTGCTTTTGCTTCTAACCAGTGCAAAGACAGTGTAGCAGACCCGCCTTGATATACAGAGTTCAGTTGAAAACATGTTACACAAAAATATTTAAATAATAGTCTATTAAAATAAAGTGCAGGTGTCTAAAGTGCATCTTGGGTCAAAGAAAACAAATTAGAGCGTTGAATATCAAGCAAAATAAGAATTTGCAATGAAGGGGCAATCATCTCCGTCTTCCCAAAGGGAAACGCTAGAGATACTTAGGAATCTCCAAATTGGCAAGCGGGCGACTAATGTCGCAGCACTGTAGGTGAAAACGGACCCAAAGAGAAACGTTCCATCCAGACCAATTATGAGGGTTTACAACCTTTTAAACATACTAAGGGGAGATGATGGTAGGTCAAAACTGCTGCAAGTTAGTCAGACTGATCAAAATCTGCGTCATGGCACTCAATGTGGGGCTATAACGGAAGATAAGGCAACCGATCTACATACAACTGACATGCGCAAGTGCCGCAGGCGCTTTAAAGAGCCGGGATCAACTTGTTGCTGGCTGTGTACTGATTATATTATTCAGTCTGACACGACACTTACATTCATGTGCATGTGCCCCTGAGTAAAGTATTTTTGACACATTTTATATAAAAGTAACTTTGAGATTTAGGCATGAGGGTGAAATTCATCAGCATTGAAAGTGTCAATTAAATTTTGGCTACTACTACTGTTACAGGATGTCCCGAAATTCATGCAACAAAATTTGGTCAGATTCTTAAGACAGATTTAGGGGACCCGTATTTTTTCTTTTTGCCAACTGGCCCCCTTTTTCGGAGTNATGGAAAATCCTGTTTAATGCCTAATATTGATAGATAAGAAACATA